GATATCCCAGTTCAAACACACTCAGGCAGAGGGAAAGAGCTTTTTCTTAGTCAGTTTGTTATTGTATCTCGCCTTCAACAGACTGAGCCCACCCACTTAGGGAGAGCAACTGCGGTACTTGGTCTACCAACTTAACGTTAACCTCACCCAGAAACGCTCACGTAGACACCCCCAAAATAACCTTTAGCCATATATTTGGGCATCCTGTGACATGATGAAGCTGAAATGTAAAATTAGCCTTCATAATATCCATCTTGAAAATGCACACCCCTGAATGTGGAAGGGGACCAAGAGGTAGAGGAAAGCCGGGGCACCACAGCCAATCTATCTGTCCTTGCACGGGCAGCATGGCTTAGCTGGTGGAAGAAACACAGCGTTTGAGATCAAACAGACCAAACGTGTTGCCTTGGCCAGTCTGTGTAGCCTTCCTGACTTTCAGCGATACGGAGCATCTCTAGCATTCTGTACTCATAGAGCTTTAAGAAACATCCCACTGTGTGCTGAGGCGCCTCTGTTGGAAAGCACGCTCTTAAACAGCGGCATTTCCCTGCGTCAAGTCTGGTTGGGGAGCACATCCCCTGAGTACTGGCGCATCAAAACAGGTTACCAGGAACTCTAGCATAGAGGGACGAAGCTGACCATCTGGAAAAGTTAAAGCGGATTTTGGGGAGCAGAGGTTTGATCCAGGGAAATAAGGTCAAGGTCTTTAACACGACGTGGGATGAAGGTCATCTTCAGCCTCTTTGGAATCCAAAGGAACCTGGGAGCTACCCCAAGTCAAGAGATATCTGAAGTCCCCGGCACGTCCCCTGACTCTGAGCAGTAGTTTGTGGTTCGATGTTTGGGTTTGCTGCTGCAGTCTGTGAACCCTCTCCAGGGCAGCTTAACTCTCAGGCTGCTCTGAGTCTGTGCTTCCATCTTAGCCAACCCCAAAGCAAATGCTTCTTCTGCGATTGTTCGGAAAAAGCCTCGGCGCCGACGCTTACTCTTCCAACTTGGGTTTCGGGTCCATCCGAGAACCTGTTGCTGGGATTCTGACTTGGTAGCTTGAGTCTGTCCACCTCGTGTGTCGTGGTCAGCTCACCTTAGCTGCAGGGACTGCGTGTGCTTCAGAGCAGCTGCCAAGAAAAGCTAAAGTGCTGTTTCTAAAAGGGAGGAAGTGACCCCAAGCAGGCAAGCAGCAGGTGCTTACTACAGGCCCCCCAAGAGTAACCTCCCACTTTTGCTTTTCCTGTATGTGTAACTCGTGGGAACTCAGGTGTGCCCGAGAGTGTCATTCACCGAGACTGGGGCGGGTATGAGACCCTGCATTTGTGCAGGGTCTTATTCTTCCTCCCTCTCCCTGCTACTACTATTTCTTTGGTTCCTGGGTGTATCAGGTTTTCAGCAGTGGCAGGGAGAGGGCTGGAAAGGTGGGATTCCACAGAGTCCACACCAGGACGTCTACTAGATCCCGCCCCCCGGTGAGTCCCGGCACATGGGAGCTAGTCCCACATGTCTGTGCTGTGGATTCAGCGCTTCCAGGACACACGAGCTTCCTCTGACCCCACAGGCTGCCCCGCATCATCAGAACGGCTTGGCATTGCGCACGCTCACTATGCGTCCGACAGTCATAGCAGGCATTGTGCAGGGAATGGTTAAGAATGAGCAGTGGGAATGCTGTCTTCTTGTAAACTTGTGATTGTGAATTTGGGGGCACGCGCCAGGGCTAAGCTGACTGGTGCTAAGCTGACCAGATGCACTGCACCGGCCACAGATCAGCAGGACTGCACGTTCTTCTCCTTGTGTTGGACTGATCGGAGGTCTTCAGCCTATAATCACTCACCAGTGGGTGTGGACGTCTCATGAGATCGTGCAGAATGAGTCCTCACCGAATGCTGCTGTCATGCCCGGGGAGATCCCCACCTGTAGAATCATTAGCCGAATGAGCTTCTGTCTTTATAAACGACCAGTCTGTGGTATTTTGTTATGGTAACAGTGGACTAAGACAACTACAGTCATTCTCCTTACAAGACAATGTGTTCCGCAAAAGGGAAGGGGACTGCTATGGTTCATGTTCCTTCAGAGCCTCATGCACTCCTAGGTGAGGAGGCGACTGGGTCATGAGAGCACCACAGTCATCAGAGGATGAGTCGGCTGACGAGTTGTAGCTGAATGTGATGCTGGGAGGTGAAGCCTGGTTGGAAGAGGTCGGTCACTGACGTGTGGACTGGATGGGTCTGTCTCCCTCCTCCCCCCTTGATCCCTCTCTGCTTTCTGCCACCGTGCCATGAGCTGTGTCTCCTCTGTGATGCCCTTGTCCTTGTCACCCTGCCTTGGAGCCAGTGGACCATGGGTGGAAACATCTACAAACTGTGAGCCAAAATAAACCTTTCCTTGTTTAACTTGTGGGTGTCAGGTATTGTGTCCCAGCAAAAAGAAAGTAACTAAGACAAAGATCAAGAGATGGAGGGAGGGTGGAGGGAGGGGAAGGGGATGTAAAAAGAATGAAGACACGTTATGTACATGTACCAATTCCCCATGAGGAATGTGACCAGTAGGTACTACACTTCTGCACTAATAAAAGTAAAAAGTAAACAAAAGAAAATGTGGCTGAATAAGACCTTTCAGTGACACAGAAGCCATATGACACGTTTTTACCCTTCTGTTTTTAGACTATGCAAAAACAAAAATATAGGAAATGTTGAATGCATTTTTTTAGTTGGCAAAATAAAAATCTCAAAGTGGAAAAAAATGACTAGGTGATCACTGTACAATTGAATACACCCTTCAGAGACCTCCCTGCGTGGATGGTTCAGAACGTTTTGAACTACAAGACACAGAAACCCTCTTCAACCAGTTTAAATGAGAATATGATGTGTTGGTTTGCCTTTCCGAGAGCCTAAGAGCCTACCAAGAATCTGACTTAGGGATAAAAGAACTTTAACTGACCCTTTTTTGGACACATGCCAGTATGAGGTCCGCTCATGGTATGTAGGTGAGTAGGGTGTTCGCAAAGGTTGGCTTGAGTTGCGTACCCACACCCGTGGAGGGGAAGGAGGAAGGGTATTATACTCCAAAGCCTTGTGCTGTACAGACTGTTATCCAAAGGGAAATCAAGATTTTTTTTCATCTCCAAAAGAGCAAGAAGGTTTATAGGACCAGCAAAAGATAGCTGTATCCTACCTTCCACCCGAGCATCTCGTTAAAATCTTGCTTCCAACTGTGTGCAAACTTCCCTCCAAGAGGAATTCTGATATCTGGAATATTAAGATCTCTTTATAATTTAGGGATTGGTCAGTTATTTTACTTTATCAATTATTTTAACATAATCCATTATAATACACATGGAAGAGTACAAGTAGATAGATTTTGATGAGTTCAGTGCACCTGTGACCAGCGTTCAGATCAAGATTCGTGACCAACAGTGGAGCCCTGCTTTGTCCTTTCCAGCTGTCACCTGCAGCCTCTGCCTCATCCAGAAGACACTGTCCCAAGTGTCTTTGTCTTACTGATTTATAAACATTCTTTATGTATTCTGGATATGAGCCATTTATCTACTATAGTTATTGAAAATATCCTCTTCAACTTTATGGTTGCTTTTTCCACTCTGATGTCTTTTGAGGAGCAGAGTTCTCAATTTTAATATAATCCACAGGTTTTTTTTTTGTCTTACATTTAGCAGAGAGTGTGTGCTCTGTTTAAGAAACAACTGCCAGCTGTGCGCATCTAATTTCAGCCTTGTTTTACCATGTCAGTGTTGTCGTAGGGATCATGTATCCAGGTGATTTGCCAGGTTGATACTTCAGTGACTTTTGAAAGACTCTTAACTTTTCAGTTTTGGGGTAGAACTCAGTAATCAACAAATGTGCCTTGGGATGCCAAGTTTCAGTAAAATATTTTTGCCTTTCTTAATTTTTAGAGTTACCTCTGAACTCCCAAGTTTGGAGGAAGCTGATATTCTTTACTCAACTTTTTTTTTTTTTTTTTCCAGAAACAGATTAGCCTACAGGGAAAAATAACACTATTTAGTACAATGAGATTTTGTCTGATGCTGTTTAGTAGCAAGTAACTCAGTCTCTCTGATCCACTATAGCTGTACTGAGAAAGCTGGAAACCAATTCCTGCCATGCCAATATAATGATGCTGTTGTGAAAGCCATACGACCACAATAACACTAACAATTAGGTCATGGAGTGCCTATGATATGCCAGTATTTATGGAATAGCCCATTGCCAAGAACTTCAGGAATAAGACTGTGTATTTTAGAGAGTCCTTCTTAGCCCTCATTACAGTCTGAGAAGTTTGTATTTGTAATCCCAAAGGAAAGGTATTGGAATTCTAGTGAGTTAATTGCAATCTACCACTCCAAGTGCAAACCATGGTGTAAATAAAGACACAATTATATATCTAAAGTAGTGGTGAGCCAAGGGGATCCTAAGTTCAGCTAGGATGACGGCTAACCTGAACAAAGGCCCTGACCCAGAGCCGAACTGGGTTTTATTAATTCGTGAAGAAGGGAGTGGCTTGAGGATGAGTGACCGTGAGAATGGTGAGAAGTAGGCGAGTGCTGTGAGCTGGGCTAGGTAGCAGGCCCGAAGTCACCTCTGCCATATGCAGAGAGAAGGCTATGTGGAAAGAGTAATCTGCATAACACAGTTTGGGGTAGTATCTAATTTTTGGGGTCAGTGCTTCAGCTCCGAGGTGTAATTTTTTATGTCCTGGGAAGCCCCAGCCTTTTACCTCAAGGCTTGATCTCAGCTGACAGTGTGGAGCATTGCTCTCACTCCTGCCTGGCTCACGCATGCTCCTTGGGAGATACAGGGCAGGGCCACACTGACCTGTCGCATTGCTTTATGCTAATTTTTTTTGTTTTGTTGTTGTTTTTCTCCAGTACCGGGAACCGAACTCACGACCTTGTGCTTGCCAGGCAGGCGCTTTTGCCGCTGAGCTAAATCCCCAGCCCTGTCGCATTGCTTTAAAGACTACACATCATCACCTCCGCTAGACCCATTTGCATTGTTTAAAGCCAGTTGAGGGGACAAGGACAAAATTTAGCCAACTGCGCACTTATCAGTACATGGAAGTAGGGCCAGGTTTAGCCAAAATGAGATAACTGCTCTTCTTTCGAGGAGAGTCGTTCAGGTGACCCTCCACAGTGTGTAACACCGAACACCTCCAGCTTCCTATCTCTCAGAGGAGACATGAAAGTAACATAAATGAGCAAAGCTTTTCATGGAGAAAATTAATTCACCAGGGAATAAATGCATTTGATTGTCTGGTGAAGCTGTTTTTTTCAAACAGTTCTTCCAAATCACAGCAAAAGGTTTTATAAGGTTACACCAAATGATAAGACCAAGCCAGGACTCAGAGCCAGACATGTAAAAGGTTCAGAGGGTGAATGCTAATCTTTAATGTGAGCGTAGCACTTAATACTATCCACAGTGTATGGCTCTGCCTTGGTTCCAGCTCAGAATCTGACTACCTTCCTCACTGATTATTTTGGGAGGCTAATTATGCTTCCAAACCCTGCCTTGGACTAAAGTTATTTTAGAGATCTGTGCAAGCAGTTCTGTCAGAGCCACTTTACAAGATCTGCTGGGAAACCTGCCTGCTTACGTTGTAATGTTACTCTTCAGCAAACATGACTTTATCCTTCTTGGGATTGGACTGCACTGTGGAAGATTTTAGATGTTATCTAAAATCTCAACACCCTCCCAGGAAGATTGGCATCAGTTAAGTTATCTACGCAAAAGTGCCAGAGTTGGCAAAAACAGCGGCAACAAGAGAACAGGGTGCCCAGTAAAACGTGAATTTTAGACAAACAACAAATATTTTTAAGTGTAAGTAATTCTCATGCTTATATTAAATTCACATTGAACTGGGCACCTGTACTTTGTCTGGCAACCCTACCCAGGTGCTGAAGGTTATTCTAGAAGCTTTTTTTCAAGGTGTTTCAGAAACTACTTTGTATAATGGCAGCATAACTGTCTCACAGTGGAATCTCTCAAGATAACTGTCTTGAAGGGGGTAGCATTCTTTACATGTTGAAATGATCAGATGCTGTTTTTTTTTAAGGAATCACCTTATCTTGCTGTCAGATTTCACAATAGAGCCTTCCCCCATAAAAACACTGCTTCACAGTTAATAAGCATAAAAAGTATGTGGATTTCACTAATGTTCATTATTTCTTGACCTGACTCTGATCTTTTAAGTTATGAATAAACAGTTCCTTGTAGCCTTTCCACAATCAACCTATGTTTATTTTATACGAGCTAGGTCAACTGGTTTTACTCAAATACCATAAGGAACAATGAATTAAAAAAATACAAGTTTGTGTTACCACCATAAGAAACAAAAAGGGAGATTCCCTACTGAAGACGGGCTTATGAGGCCTTGGACTTCACTTTGTTTCCCTGACATTAGCGGGAAAGGTAGAGGTGTGAGAATATCTGAGAGAGCCTTTGTTCCTCAAGGCTGGTTATTTAACCATTACCTAGTAATTTCAACCTGTCATTTCAGAACCCCAGCAGTGAAACACACCAGCACATACATGGCTCATGGAATTGAGAGGGCTGAGGCTGTGATGCATAGCAAGAGGTATGTTTGTTTCAAATATCTTAACAATGCTTATTACATAGTCTATTTGCCTGATACAATATACCTGTGTTCTCCTTGGACTCGGTTTTTTTTTGGTGTGTGTGCGTGCTTCCAGTAGTTTCAGTTCTGCTTTAAAAAAGGAAAAGATACTTTTCCATTGAAGAAAATTAATGGAAGGGCTTTGGTAGAAATCAGGAAAAACAATAGGGAATATTTTTGCTCATTCTATCAATAAAGATGTCTAAAAAATTTAGGCTTTCTTGATTAGCCAATTTTTTTTCTTTTTAAAGAACTGCATCTCGTGGTTAAAAAGTGAGGTCGGGCTGAGAACTGTTACTGCTTTTGCAAACCTGAATCATGGCCTGAGTGAGGATGGAGAATAACAGTTCAAAGAAAATCACAAGCAAATGAAATAGAAAAGAGAAGCAATTACTAACTCCAAGAAAAGCATGAAGTTACGTAAGGATGTCAATTTCTTCTTTGTCCACTCTGTGACTTAGATATGAATGATATTGAGGTAGTCAAAATAAAATGCATGCAAAAATTTTCTGTAACAGAAATGATGCCACGTCTCTATTAGAGGGAAAGTATGTGAAGGTTGGGAAAGGAGCGGGTATGTAGGGGAGCTAAATCCTGCTTCCCTCCTACCACATTAATAGAAAATACCTAAGCTTTCAGGAGCCCAAGGGCTCCAAACAAAGTAATGATAAGGAGATGGAAATGTTAATTATCTTAATTTAATCAGTACATATTATACGTGTGTATTAAATATCACACTGAACTCCTTAAGTACATATGGTTACTATGTTAATCAAGAAATTTTAAAATGTCTAAAGAACTAGAAATATTAACTTCCTTGATTTGATCATTATATAGTGTATAAATGTATTGAATTACCACATAGTACCCTATACATTTGTACAATTAAAATACAAATCTGCTGAGTATAACGGCACACGCTTGTAACCCCAGCTATGGTTGAGACAGGAAGAAGATAAGTTTGAGGCCTGCTTGGGCAACACAGGGAGAGCCTGTCTGGAAAAGAAAGTTCTGGAGATGTAGCTGGGTGGTGCCTGGCATGTGTGAGGCTCTGGGTTCAATTCCTAGTACTGCAAAAACAACCAAACAAATAAAAGAAAAATAGGTAAATAAATACAGAACAAGGAAGGAAGCAAGGAATAAAGAAAGGAAGGAAGGAAGGAAAGAAGAAAACACTCAAGCTTGAAGACATCAAGAAATCGCTGTCCTACATAGCTAGGTAGAAACATAGAGGTCAGTCCTAGAAACAAATAGCTAAAAGATTATAAAGTATTTTTTTTTCTGGACAGTAGGAATCAGAGGTGAGGATACTACCATTTTGGCTCAAAGCCTTGTATGAGTTGGGTTTTTGTTCATGTGGATGTATTAGATGAATATATTTAAATTTTTAATGTTATGGACTCCCAAAAACCAAGATCCCAAGAAAATCAATATCAAATGCAAAAAAGTAATGAAACAAAAGGTGATCATTATTTGGCGGGGAGGATATGATATATGCTTAGTTCCAAGGACGCTTTTCAGTCAGTAGACTTTAAGAGCACAACTTGATCATAAAGATGACACTTTCTACATTTCAGTATCAGTGAAGATATGAGATCGACTCTAGCTCCACCCTAGCTTGTAGTTCAGGCTGGCCTTTGAGCTCACTATGGAGCCCAGGCTGGTTTCAAACTTGCAGTGATCCTCCTGCCTCAGCCTCCTGAATGCTGGGACTTTAGGCATGTGCCATCACGCCCGGCTAAGCATTACCTCTTGATGATTGTGAAGCAGCAGCCTTGACAGAACTAACATTTCCAGTCTATCTAGCTTGGTGTTCCTAGAGATAAACACGAGAATTAAATTTCAAGGCTGCCTGGCCAGGTCCTTTCCTGAACTGAGGACAGGCTGGTACACTCAGGTCTCCTTTTCTTTGGACTGCACCTTTCAAGGAAGTGAAGTGTTTTGGAATGGCATGCATTAGGGAGAGGTTTGCCAGAGAAAGCACACACGGTGCCAGGGAAGAGAACTTAGATGGATCACAGGCTTAGCACAGTGAGTGGGACTTTGCTAATATTCTGAATTCTGGAGGAAAGAAAAGCTCTTAGTCCACTGACCTTAGATCGGCATGCCTGTGCTTTCTATGTGGGTAATGAAATCCCTCCAAATGTAGGCATTTGGGAAGTAGCCAGGGCTAGCCTGGGAACACTTCCTCCATCTGCGCCAGTCCACCCTTCCCCAGAAATCAGTTATCCTTTGGTATCACACACCCACTACCCAGGGAAAGTTCCAACTCACTACCAGGCTAGGTAGCCACCCTCAAGAGAACAGAGGGGCAGAAGGAGATACCCACAGTGGCAGTGGGCAGGATTCCTGCCCTGTGGGAGACAATTTCCTTTGTACTTTTAGATGAAATTCAATTCCAGTGTTCACTGCCCACCATTGGCCCTTTGGGTCTTAGCAGCTCTGAGCCCATTTGCTATAGTAGAACTGAGGCAGGAGATTAGGGTGAGGCAGATTGGCTGGGGATGTGGGCATTTCCTAGTCTCAAGAGCAGTCGAGGTGCACATCATCTTAACCCTGAAATGCAAAGTAACTGAAGTACATGTCATGGTCCGGCATCACAGACACCAGCATCCATCACAATCATATTAGAGGAATCCTAAAATCCTTTGCAGTACATCTTTTCCAGATGTGTATTATAAAGAACAAAAATGCCAGGGCCAGGTATATGTGCTAACTCCAACCAAACAAAATAAAAAACAAGAACTCTTATGGATGCTTTTCTGCTATTACAGTTTAAAATCTTTTTTCCTCATTAACTCCAGGCTCCATAATTAGAACACAAGATCCCTGAAGTCAAGAATTGTGTGCATGGAGCATTTTTAAAATCTCAGCCCCTGGGAGATCTTATTCAATATATACTATACATTAGTGATGACAGATGTACTTTCCTCTGTTTATATGGTATCAGGGAAAATCTACCACAAAACTTGGGTTAAATTAAGGTGATACTTGTAATTTTTTTGAACAATGGTTTAGGCAAAAATCTCTGTCCTGAGAAATACTATTCCCTCCCAGAGGGAAAAGGTCTACAAATATATATAATACATATAGTAATAAAACAACAAACAGTAACTTTTTGAGCATTTACTATACACCAAGGACTGCTTTAGACATCTGACTTGTGCTCATCTAATGCTAAAAATGATTCTTCCAACCACAGACATCTCCCCACTGTCCTAACATCTCATCTGTGCTCAAAAGCTAGATTATTTTTACTGATTTTGTGCAAACAGGTTGACATTTTATAGTCCTAGCCAGTGCACTTGTATATTCATTTGAAAGACTTTTAGGAAATAGTTGATTTACTGGAACAAAGAGATTATGTCCTTATCACAAAATTGGGACTTCTATGTGTCACAAGTTGACATGCAGATGAAATAAAGAAACTGTTTCTTAGAATTCGAGATTTTGGAACCAAGAGGCCACTGTGACATTAAACTTGTTCACTACAGGTGAATTCTTCAGGCACCTCCCAGCCTCAGTCACTCATCTTAGAAACACAAAGCGCTCACACATGCAAACTCGAGTTGGCTCCACTGAAGATGAATAGAGCCGGTAACACACAGGCTCATGTGGCTGGCCTCTGAGCTATGCAGACTCGCTGATCAGTGGGCCGCAGAAGCTTGCCCTGAGATTTTCCGGTGTTCCCCAGGAAACAAAGGTGGTACACAATGAAAGAGAGAAGTCAGCTCCAACCGGCGCCAGCCCCACACTCCACCCAAACCAGAAGAGCAGGAGCCGAATGTCACAGAAGGCATTGTTGTGTTTCTTCCTCCCACCACCTAGACTCAGGGCCTTCTGAGTGTCCCAGGAAGCTTGAGCCAATGGGATGCAGAGGCCAGGTCTCTGCACACTACCAAGAAACAGAGCAGTCACTGTGAGTATGACAGAGTCTGGCACTGGAGAGAAAATAATCATCGAAAGACTCCTGTGGTGAAAACAGTCCCGCCCACTTAGATTGACTTCCTGACACTTGAGGATGATTTTACGTCCTGGCCTGGAGTGAAGAATAGAAGCTACAGAGAAAAGGGTTGGAGCAACTGATGTGGGCAAGAAGGAGAATCAGGGTTCTGGAAATAGGAAACCCTGACTTTCCATTTATGGAAGGTATACCAATTCAGAGTCTTACCGACGTTCACGTGGCTGTCAGTACTGGAATCCAGGTTTCAAATTTCCAATATAATACTTTTTCATTTGTGACTTAAAAAAATATCTATCTGTCTATCTCTCTCTCTCTCTATATATATATACCTACAAGCTTTTCAACAAATGTTTGCAAATGTTAGTAAAAAATTCATAATCACAACCTTCCAATAACCATTGCCATTTTTGTCTTTCTTCTCAATGTTTATTTTCATAACCTTTACTATAACCATAGCCATTAAACATGCACGTCTCTGTTCTTCCAATACATGTCTTCCTATGCCAGGATCTGTCCTAAATAACCCGATGTCACTACCCTCAGAGAACTCATATTCCAGCGGAGTGGGAGAGGATACACAAACAATGTACAATCTATTCCCATTAATGAGGATAATCTGCTTCTCAAACAGGCCCTTTTAGGATGAACTGTCATAGGCAGAAATGTACTTTACATTAATTTCAGCAGCAAAACACTTTTTTTTCCTTTTGTGGCCACAAATTAACACCCACTTTTGTTTAAAAAGCATCAATAATATTAAAATAGATGCAATTATCCCACAAGTGAGTAGTTACCCTCAGACCTACGCCTGTCGCCATGGGTCATCTATATGATACTCAGAGTATATACATAATTAGTGCTTAATATAAAAAGAATAGACAATGAAGACACTGATGAAAGTTATGCATGTGATTACATCCTGAGTACTTCAGAGGAGACACTCAAGACTGCCAAGGTGATGCTTGGTAGCTGTGCTGAATGTGATCAATAGCTTCCTAGGTTCAGGAAATCCAAACCCACCCTCTTCAGAAAGAACCATGCCTCATAGGCCACAGCTGGAGCACAGATGCGATCTACACATTCCCGTCCACAGCAGGGCTGAGCAGTGCCGGGGAAGCTGCAGTGGTGGAAGGAAAGACGACTGGATAAAGAGCAGGAAGAGCTGGACGTGGGTCGGGCAGGGAGGAGGTGGTTCTGCGTAAGCGCCCTTTTGTAACCTCTGCAGTTCTGCTTTCCTCACTAGGGTTGACAGATGCCTCCTTGGTGCATGCAGCTTTCCCTCCTTGTCTCCAAACGCATTTTCTTTTCTTCTGAAGACTTTCCCAGTTAACCGTCTGCAGCATTCTTTCATTTAAAATATTTGTCAAAACTTCTGTTTGCTGGAAATTGGTTTTTCTCTCCTTTCATCTCTATTCCTTTAACTAGAAAAATGAATGTGTTAATATGTGCCACATTACCTCAACGTTCAACCAACTCTGGTGTCCAAGAGTCTTTAAGGTCTTAACAAATTCTTGCTGGGCTTGGTGGCCACATGCCTCTGTTCCCAGCACTCTGGAGGCTGAAGCAGGAGGATTGCTGTGAGTTTGAGGCAGCCGGAACTTTTTTTTAAAATCTTAGCAAAACTGAAAATACTCTTCTAAAAGTCAAACACCTAAAATGTAATTCCGATTGTCCAACACAGGCAAAATTTATGCTAACAGTTTTGAGGCCACATTTGTTACAGGTTTCAAAATGTTTTCTTAAGTTATGTGAACAAAAAGTCATTATGTTTTCTTTTTTTTTTTTTTTTTTTTTGGTTTTTCTCCGGCACCGGGAACCAAACTCACTACCTTGTACTTGCCAGGCAGGCACTTTGCCGCTGAGCTAAATCCCCAGCCCCTCATTATGTTTTCTTAATTTGTTTTTTTTTTGAGACAGGGTCTCACTGTGCAGTTCGGGCTGGCCTTGAACTCACTATGTAGCCCAGGCTGGCCTTGAACTCATGGCAATCAATCCTGCTACCTCAGCGTCTGTGCTGGGATTCCAGGCGTTTGCCACTACACCCAGCAATGCTTTCTTAATTATTGAGAGCTCTCATTTTTAAATTAATCTGATACCATCTAAACAATATATAAATGCACATACACACATAGACGTTATATTTAACACACACACATGCACCAACACATAAAACAAAGACTTAAAATTATCATTTATGTGCTTCAATTTTTTTTTTTTTTTTCGGTACCGGGGATCAAACTCACGACCTTGTGCTTGCTGGGCAGGCGCTGTGCTGCTGAGCTAAATCCCCAGCCCCTATGTGCTTTTAACAAGTTACACTATTGGTGTGATTTTTGCTTTTACCATCCTCTGCAATACTTAATCCTAAATTTGCATGTCTGAGGATAGCATTCCTGGTTGTAGTAAGGTGAGAAATATATATCTCAAAGGAGATTGCTTGCCCAGTTAATCTGAGTTTGAATCTCTTGAAGATTTTTTTTCCTGCCTTCTTACAGGTCTCAGTCGATTGAAAAACACTTGCTGCAGGTTTTTAAGACTTTTACACTGTGTTAAAATTTAGACATAGCTGGTCAGAAGTTTACACATCTTATCCTGGGGCTGTATTGCTCAAGGCCTCTAGTATGAAAAAAGTCAAACCAGTTTAGGAACAATACTCCCCAGGGAGGAAAACACAGAGTCAAATTTCTACATTTTTCTAGTTAAAGGAATCGAGATGAAAGGAGATAAAAATCAGTTTCCAGCAAACAGAAGTTTTGAAAAATATTTTGAAACACAACTGGCTTAGAATGAACTGAGGACTGTTAAGCAAAATGAGCGGAAATTAAAACCCCACTGAACTCATCAATATTAGCAAAGGAGTGGTGTGGTCAGCGGCACAGAAGGCTGTCATTGCCCCCATCACTGTTTCAGAAAAAAGCAGGGGAAGCAGGTACGGATGTTATCCTGGCCCGAGCGACTCCAGAACATCTTCCTAAAGACAGCTCCACAAAATCAGGGTGCGCTTTCAGTGATGCACAAGGCCTGCTGTCTCACAAGAAAATCATCTTTTCTAGGTCGCAGGTCACTAACGCCTTGCTAGGGACTTGCAAACTAGCACAATGTTGGGAGCTGCCTTAGCCGCTCCCCTAAGATGGCGCCTGTTTCCTGCTTCCGGGTTCTTG